CCCCCCTACCTCCCTGTAGCGTGGCCGATCCCAGTATAGCCGGCGGGTACAGGGAGCTTTTGTTTCCTGTACCCGGCCGGACTAACAGGAAGTGCCCACTCAGTGTGCGCTTCCTGTTAGTCCGGGCGGGTACAGGAGACAGCTGCTCCCTGTACCCGTCGGACCATGCTGCAGTGAGGGAGCTGACAGGAGCGCTCCCTCCTGTCAGCCCCTCTCCTCAGGCTGCGCCCGGGCGGTGCAGTCCGCCCTCATGGACGCACCGCCCGGGCAAAGCTGCAGCCGCCTGAGGCTCTATACAGAGCGCTCGGGCGGCTGCAGCATGGGGGGGGGGGGCGGGGGGCGGGGGGCTGGCCATGGCACCCCCCACCCGGCTGGCACCCGGGGCGGACCGCCCCCCCCTTAGTACGCCACTGGCTGTATTATATATAGCATGATATAGCTGTATTGTATATAACATGATATAGCTGTATTATATATAGCATTATATAGCTGTATTATATATAACATGATATAGCTGTATTATATATAGCATTATATAGCTGTATTATATATAACATGATATAGCTGTATTATATATAGCATTATGTAATGTGTGCCAGTATTATATAGCTGTATTATATATAACATGATGTAAGCGGCATTATATAGCTGTATTATATATAACATGATATAGCTGTATTATATATCGCATTATATAGCTGTATTATATATAACATGATATAGCTGTATTATATATAACATGATATAGCTGTATTATATATAGCATGATATAGCTGTATTATGTATATAACATGATATAGCTGTATTATATATAACATGATATAGCTGTATTATATATAGCATTATATAGCTGTATTATATATAACATGATATAGCTGTATTATATATCACATTATATAGCTGTATTATATATAACATGATATAGCTGTATTATATATCGCATTATATAGCTGTATTATATATAACATGATATAGCTGTATTATATATAGCATGATATAGCTGTATTATGTATATAACATGATATAGCTGTATTATATATAGCATTATATAGCTGTATTATATATAACATGATATAGCTGTATTATATATAGCATTATATAGCTGTATTATATATAACATGATATAGCTGTATTATATATCACATTATATAGCTGTATTATATATAGCATTATATAGCTGTATTATATATAACATGAAATAGCTGTATTATATATAGCATGATATAGCTGTATTATATATAACATTATATAGCTGTATTATATATAACTTGATATAGCTGTATTATAAATCACATTATATAGCTGTATTATATATAACATGATATAGCTGTATTATATATCGCATTATATAGCTGTATTATATATAACATGATATAGCTGTATTATATATAGCATTATATAGCTGTATTATATATAGCATTATATAGCTGTATTATATATAGCATTATATAGCTGTATTATAAATCACATTATATAGCTGTATTATATATAACTTGATATAGCTGTATTATAAATCACATTATATAGCTGTATTATATATAGCATTATATAGCTGTATTATGTATATAACATTATATAGCTGTATTATATATAACATGATATAGCTGTATTATATATAACATGATATAGCTGTATTTTATATAGCTGTATTATATAGCTGTATTATATATAACATGATATAGCTGTATTATATATCACATGATATAGCTGTATTATATATAGCATTATATAGCTGTATTATATATAGCATTATATAGCTGTATTATAAATCACATTATATAGCTGTATTATATATAACTTGATATAGCTGTATTATATATAGCATTATATAGCTGTATTATATATAGCATTATATAGCTGTATTATGTATAACATTATATAGCTGTATTATATATAACATGATATAGCTGTATTATATATAGCATTATAT